TAAAATACACTCATGCCCGTAATTACAGCCGATGCGTGACACTGAAGCTGTCACATTTTGGCTCTATTGATCGAGAACTGAGTGATCACATATCGCTGATCACTCAGTTGCCGATCGTTCCCCTGCAAAGAGCACTGACTGTCTTCCACCCTCTTCTCTCCGTCCCTCCAGCGCTGCCTGGAAGGATGGACAGGGGGAAGGGCGGGCACAGCTAGGGAGGCAGTGCCAGCGGTCAATAAGGTAGTAGGGTGGACTACGACAATATTGTCGGGATCTTTCCTGGCCGCAGCACGTTTTGGGTCACAGGAGGACATAGTAAATGTTCTCCTGTGACCCTAAAGAGAACTATGGCCAAAAAATGTTGAGCCATAGTTCTCTTTTAATCTGAAAACATTGCAGTGAAATATTAATCATATCTATACAGCCGCCGTATCGTTTGTACAGTGCAGTGCTGTATCCTCCACCGCTGATCTCTCCTCCGATCACTAGACCCAGAAGTGATGTGCATTGCATCACTTCCGGTGTCACTGTTTACATTCTCCGGCTCTTAGAGCCAGGAGAAGAAGCTGGGGATGTCAGGGACGTAATCAGCAGCGGCGTCACGGCCGCAGATCCCGGCCCCTCCTCCAGCTCAGATGTCACACCGCGACGTCGCACTCCCGGGGCTGACGAGCGTAGCTCCTCCCACTGACACCAGCTCCCTTGGTAAAAGCGAGGGAGATTCAATTGCTCGGCGTTCAGTCAATGAAGACTGTACATTGAGCAATAGCTCTCCTACCCGCCTGCTGAACTGCCGCATTTCACCACTTACACGCCTGAACCTTCACAGGAGTGAAGGAGGACAACACCTGAAACCCCCTGCACAGCTCTTCTCTGGCTAGAGGCCATAATACACGGCTGCCATCCTCCTAACAAACCGCAAGTAACTGGGCTATATAGAGATTGTGATACGTTGCTGCTGGACTATATCGCCATCTGCTGGCAAAGATCTGTACTGCAACCTCCTGTGCAAACTACCTAGCTAGCAGTATTATATTGTGCAGGTGCCATATCCTCTCCGGCTATTCAGATAAGATAGCTTCATATATATTGAGACTGTTTCTTCATTAACCTTCATTTATGAATATAATATTGTGGGACATTAATTAACTACCTTGTATGCTGGAATACGGGTAATATTACATTTGTTTCAAGTGGTATATGATGTTTATGGGAACTGCGCCCCCTCACCACACCTAAGAGGGTTATAGCAGCATCCCCAGCCTGAACCACTTCTTTCTAGCCAAAAAATCAGATTATATTGTGTGTGCAAATAGAAAGACATTGCTCCAGACAGCAAGTGATTAAAGAACTCTTCCGTTCCAGTTTGAAAATGTTGAACATAGGTCTTGCTGGCTATCACTTTAAGTAGTGCTGAAGCTTTCTGAAGCCTGCTATCAGCTTGTTTAAAGCAACCTTAAGCCAGATTTTAAAGAACAGTCACCCTCAGCTAGCCCAGGACAGTAGGGAGGTAGGATAGAAAATAGCAAAACTGTTTTAAGTCTCCTTCATCCAATGTCCTATCATTTTTGGACAGGCTTCTGTGGAATAAGTGTGAGTTACCGCATTGGAGATATTCACTTTACTTCACCAAATAAAGTAAACATTAGTTGGGTGGGGAGGGGTCAGTTCCATTGTTGTAGATGATGTGTGAACTCCTTTTGTGTTATTTAAGGCATAGATTTGGTTAATCACGGCATCACATGTAGAGTGCAGTTATGTTTTAATTGAAATTGAGATTTTAGGTGGTAGGTATACTTTGTGTATATCAAAACGTAAACATTAAGAATGTTAATTAGTGAAGTGGTTGCAGTGTGGCAAACTATTCCAGTTAGTAATCTATTTATAAAGGCCTTGATGTTAGGATAATTAATGGAAAATGCAGTATAATTGCAATATCATACAACACCTCTAGAATCGATGCAGAAGTTCAGCAATAGAGCTCCACTAAATCCTTGCCCATGAAATCTTATATAATTGGTGTTCAGAGATTTTCAAAAACTCTCTTCTTAGATTGTGGTTTGTTATTTCTTTGGACCAAATTCTTTACGTAGTTTGATTAGTCAAAAAGTTTAATCTTCTGTCCTTTTCTGAAGCTCTTAAAGGGCTAGATCTAGAATGATTTAGTGTCTTTTTTACTAATCTTCTACACCTTGCTCGTTTTAGCAACCTGAATATTTGTCTGTAGTCTAAACAAACTAAACATGATTTAAAGGCTCTATAAATACAATGCCCTCAGCACACATTAGATTTATAAACTGTTCTAATCAACTGTACTTTGTGACAGAGGTTCTTAATGAAGGTTGTTTATGTTACAAGGGCAAAACATGTTGACTTTTGAAGCAACAGTGAAGCAATAGAAGTGTTGCATTAGCATAGGGTATCTTATCATTACACATTTATTAAATGGTTTTCTCCTAGGGGAAAACTGCATTGTAATTCAGCTCCATCTCTACCGCCAGTAAAATGTCATGTAAATGACATGAAAGATGCTTTATAACTCTTTCATCGCTACATTTGAAAACATCAGGTGTTTCATAGAAGATGCATTGTTAAGTAGCTGGGTGATTTTACACAGTGCAATTACTGATAATTCTGAAATTAAGTTCATCCATTCCTCCTTTAATCTGTTGATAATTAAAAGATTAAAGTTGTTTTACCCACTTTAAAGCTGACCTTTACACTCAAAAATCAAATTCTACCAATGCATCCCTCTATGTATGATGAATAATAATAACATAGACATGACAGGTGTAAAATTCTGTGATTTTGAAATACTTACACATGCAGAGCATTCACTTCCTGCTTTGAAAGTACAAATTACTTCAGTTTGCGAACGCAATGCACACTGGGATTGCCTAGTCATCAGCAGAGCATTGCTGGGAAATCTCATTTGTAATCTCATGAGATCTCAGGGAAAGGCATTTTCCCCTTTCTTAGATGATGTGCATGGTCACATGTCCTAGTCACATGTGCCAGAAATCCAGGAAGTAATAGGAGAGTGCCCTTAGTAAACATGGCCACTGTCAGAAAACTGGGAAAGAAAAGAGAAATAAGGTATGCAAAGAATAAAAAGCTGGCAATTATCTAGAAGTATGTGTTTGTAGATTGTCATTACTAAACATTTCTAAAGGTGTGTTTGTTGTTATTTTATAGATTTGGGTAAAGGTCCGCTTTAGCTGTGTTTCACTGCAATGTTTACAGTCTGTTAATTCCAAAGGATTGTTTAGAGGAATGCCCCACTGGACTGTGCATAAGTATTTGTTAAACCATTTATGTTTGTTTTAAAGCAGTTGATTCCTAAGAGTTGAGTTGACAGATTCAATGCTACTGATTAGATATTTTCTGGTATTTTCTGATTAGAAGCAATGTTTTTTCATTGATATTTAATTTCTCATAGCTTGATCTGCCTAACAACTTGTTTCAAAGTATACTTGAATTCCCCTTCCAAAATACATTGAAGCTGATGAGCTAAACTCACTATACTTGAAGAGATTGTCATTTTATACTAGTAATACTCGGGTGTGGAACTCCTATCGCCTGACGCCTGGGACATGTAGTTCCGGTCGCTGGCAGCGCTCCTGTGTCAGCTGTCTCAAATGGAGCTGTACAGAAGATCCAGCACACGTGTGCTGCATCTTCTGTATTGGAAGGCAGGGTCATAAAGAGAACCTGTCACCTCCAAATGCAGTAAAGTTAAGTGGAAAAAAAGTAATACAATAAAAAAAATTAAAAACTGATAGTAAAAAATACGATAAGTAAAAATGTTAAAACATTTAAACCAACCTGCCCCCGTCATCTGCATGTGAATAAAAGCACACATAGGGCATTGTGTCTGTGTGTGTTTGTGTGCACTGAGTGCTGCCCCCATTCCACTGTGTGCTATATTGTGGTAGCCATTCAGCAGCGCTCCCTAACATGCATGATATGCATTGAAGGGTAAGTTCACTTTCCCAAGTAATTTTGGAAAATGGAATTACCCCCCATACTATACTTGCCCTTCAGCAAACGATCCTTCCTCTCCGCCGTTACGGGTGTACTATCAGTACCCCATACTGTCATCCTGCACTATGAATTTTAAACTTCGCTCACAAATTGTGAGCACTTGTTGGTCTGCACGGTCACCTCACCGCGCTGACCAATGAGAAGCGCTTCTTAGCACAGTTAAATACGGTTTTGGTTAAAGTTATTTTTTGTATCAGGACAAGTAGATTGTCACGAGGGCCAAGTATTTTTTATTTTAATTTCCACACCCCTGAATACTGTATGCCTATCTTGGCATGTTTGAGTATAAATAATTGACAAGCTGGTAGTTTAATTGGCTCCTGTCTAAATTGACCCTAGTAAGTTTATGTATGCCTGTGAGATAGGGTCCTTGTATGCTCCTCGTAGGGATTGTATGCTCCTAAAGCACAGAGACTGATATGAATTTGCACTATGTGAAGCACTGATTAACTTGTCCGTGTTATATAAATGCCTGTAGTAAATAAATAATTGGAAATAAGTAATTATATTACTATACTGCATCAGAAGGTTTGATAAGCATTGAGCATATAATTGAGGTTGGCACCTTTTTTTTTTAAAGTTTGCGCTCCCTGTAGATGGCCATCATTACTAACCTTTGTTCCCTCTGTCCTGCAGTCAGTCACTTGCTCTAGAGATCCAGTACAGAGCAAATTTTCCTCCAGGTCCCACAGTAGGTTTCAAAATGTTTGCACATATGTGGGAAGTGCTGAAATAGATGTTACAGACTGTCATTTGTACCCAAGTATTGCACTTTTCCTGGCATTAGGCATATACACCACCTTTACCTCTATACTTCTGGTAGGAATAGTATTATACTTATTTTTAAACTGCATAGTTTTAAGCAATCCTTTAAAAGATTATGATGTAATGCAAACACCACCTAGATAACTTAATTTATTTCTAATGATGTCCTCTTATTGTCTAATATTGTCTAGGAAGAACAAGCATGGATGTGAAATCTGTCGCTGTAAAAAGTGCCCTGAAGTTCCATGCAGCAAGATCTGTCCAAATGGCTTTGAGCAAGACAGTCAGGGATGCCTTATCTGCAAATGTAGAGGTAAGTAGAGACTTTCACCTAGTGTCCTCCTCTTGTCTCAAAACATCATCAAAAAGAAGATACCGTATGTACAAAGCTTCCATTGTCAGAGACAGTTTTACAGCTCATTTAATGCTACTTAATGTCATTTTGTGACAGCATAACTCTATTTATGAGTGCTTTGTTTCCTGCGTGTAGCCATTTCATTTTTAATTACTGCAGCCTTATGAAGGAGCCGGCAATGACTTTTTAATGAGCAGATAACAGAGCCAAATGAGCACATAGTTTCTAAGCTTATTCCAATCCACGTTTTTCTTAATTATTATATGTTCAGATATGTTTTTTTTTACATGTACAGCACTGTAGGATATTTCCAAATGTCCTATTTGTAAATGGAATATGTTTTTTGAATGCTTTTGAAATTTCACAGGAACATATCAAATACCATACCAATTTACATGGTGTATCTTAAAGTGTAATTCCACTTTTGTTGAGAAAAAAAATTCCCCTCTAGGTGTTTTGTGTACATTGCAGGGGTTATAACACACTTTGTTCACATTCCTAACTTTTTCTGATCTGATAATCTGTTTGTTTCAACATGCCCTTTCCAGACGGATTCCTGAATGGGAGGGTCCTGTTCAGTATAGTCACCTAGTGCACTCTTACAGGGTCATTAACAAAAAGGTGAAGAGTTGGGAGAAGGCAGGAGAAGTGAACAGTCTAGGACAACATAGCTGAACTGAACTGGAAAGTGAGCTGAATTGGAGATTTTTTCCAAATCAACTATTTTGGCCTAGATTGTTCACTTCTCCTGCCTTCTCCAAACTCTTCACCCTTTTGTGAATAATTCTGTAAGTATTCTGTTTTTCAGAAGTTAACGCTTAGGGAGAATTTCACCAAAAATGAAATTTAGACTGAGTGGATGCTTAAAATTTGACTTGCAGAGATACAGTATGTGAAAATCAGTGAGCCAATCACAGAAGCAGGAGATTATATTTTCTGGGGGCCTTATGTACACAGACAGTGTTCAGAACACCATATTGCATTGATTTTTTTTAACCATTTTAGAAAATGACAGCAGCTTAAAGCTGTTCCAGAAAAACACAGTAAATGTCCCATTTACTTATCTGAATACCCTGTCATGTGAGCATCAGCAGCACACTTCTAATTGGTCTAAGGTGGCATGCCCCAGGGTTCTGTGTTAGGCCCAATACTGTTTAACCTATTTATTATTGATAGTATATAGGGTAATATATACTACTACTAAGGAAGTTGTATACCTTAGGCCATTTACTTATTACACATAGGGGGCCTCATGTGCAGCCATCATCATGTCAAGAAGGCTGCTAAATTTCTTAGTTTAATACTATTAGTACATTTCCATGTGATGCACCCAGAAATATAATAATCCAAAATTATCATAAATTTGTGATCTTTAAAATTCTGAATGACATTGCACTTAACACTTGCATTTGTTTGACGTTCATGCAGTAAATGCAAATATCATACAGAATATTTACAATATACATCCAATGTATATTTTGGAACATGGGAATGAATATGGGAGGGTATGGCTTCTAATTTCAAGAATGCTGGGTCCACTAGAGCACCTCCCCACATTTTCCCATTGGCTGAAGGAGCCCTCACTCCTGATTGGCTAAATTAGGGAGAATTTTACCATTCTGTGTCAGAGAGACCTTGGAATTATGTACTGGAAAACACCTGTATTGTGGTCCGGTGTGGCAGCATTGAGATGCGGCTTACACATTGGGAACTTAGTTTTTCCCCCTGGTGCCCAACAGATGAAGGTGCCACACACAGAGCACTGGCAGGCTGCTTGTAGGGCACCTGGACTTGGTTACTGGTATCATTTAAAGTGTATCTAAAGGCAAAACTTTGTTTTTTAGTTTTGGATAAAGTGGGGAATTTGTAAAAACCCCTATTAGATTTTTTTTCTGTTTTTGCCATGGGGAGATTTTTACTTTACTTTCTTTTCCAGGGATGGGACAGGAAATGAGAAGAAATCTCTGCAAAGTGAATTCCCATCTTAGTCAGTTGTTACCAGAGCATTTTTCCCAGTTAGATTTCTCTCAGCTCTGGTGACAACTCTATAATTTGGGATTTTCCATAACCTTCTGTCTTGGTAACAATAAGCACTTGCAAAAATAGGAAATCTTCCCTGTGGTCACACAGACAGCCCTAAAAACTTGACAGAGGGTGTAACCTCTTCCTCACTCTGTTCAAAACAAAAAAAGTTTTGCTTTTACATAGGTTTTAAAGAAGTGCAATACTATAAATTAGATTGCAGATATAACTGTACAGAATTAAAGGAAAACTTCGGGGTTAAGGCTTTTCCCCATAGTTCTCCTTAGGGTAACGGGAGGACACAAACTAGCGTCCTCCCGTCACCCTAGGCTCAGTATACCGAGAGCTGTAGCTCGCGGTATACTGAGACGCCGCAGCTGAAGCGGATCCCAACAATTGTGCCGGGATCCGCCCAGCTGCGTGACTGACGGCTGGCTCTGCCTATATAGAGGCAGAGCCAGCTGTACCCTCCCCCGTCCGTTCCGCCAGTCAGCGCTGGCGGATCAGAGCGGGGAGGGGGAATCCAGCCCCTCCCCTGTCACGGCAGAGAGCTGTGACAGGATCGAGAGGTGAGCGAACGCCGGTATGTGTTCGCTCACCTCCCGATCTACTGAGCCGACCTGCAACACTCTCATTGTCACATGTCGGCTAGAACATTTAATGGTATAACTTTCTGTACTGGGATGACTGTATCCTTTTCATGTTATTCTGTGTTGCATTAAAAAAAGCATTTGTTTATTGATAATTGTTTGATATATACAGTACCTTAAATTAACTAGAGCCTTGATTATAATTTGCCACCAGGCAAAGTTGCTGTTAATAAAGACAATGCTGTAGACAATACTGTCATGAAGCAAAGATTGTGAAAATACACATGAAAGAAGGTACTTGTGAATAGTGCTTAACGGAGATCTATGTGGTGAGTGATTTCCACTCATCCTCATAGTTAGAGCTGACCTGTGACAAAGAAGCTGTCAGAGGTCGGCTCTATCGATCGGGAAATGAGCAGAAACATCCACCGATTTGCTCACTTCCCGATCGTCTCCCTGCAGTGAGCGGTCAGTCACCCCTTCCCTGCAGGGATTCCCCCCTCTCCGATCCTCCACCGCTAAGTGGAGGAACGAACGGGGGAGGGGGCGGGCACAGCTGGCTCTGCCTCTAGATAGTAGAGGCAGAGCTCTACTTCTCGACAGTAATGTCGGGATCCGTCTCTGCTGCGGCGCTCACAGTATATGGTGGACTGAGCTTTTGGTCACGGGAGGACGCTACCGCGTTTCCCCGAAAATAAGACACTGTCTTATATTTTTTTTCCCAAAAAAAACACACTAGGTCTTATTTTCGGGGAAGAACAGTATGTACAGAAATCAGGACCGTGACTGTCATGCAGAGCAGAGATACCGGCATGTAATGTACTGTATCATACAGTACTGGAGAAGGGGAGTGAAAGAATGGTACTGTGACTGTCACACAGTGTCACAGTACGGTACCTGGCTGCAGCTGTCTGGAGCTCTCTGATGCCGTCCTGGCATCCTAAAAGCCGAGGCAGTCGGGCGGAAAGGCTTGCAGACGGGCCGGAGGGAGGGAGGGAGCTGCGGCCAGAAAGGTTTTTACGATCTTTACTTGTTTTTAGACTGTACATGCAGACGGGTAGACTGGCGGGCAGACGGGCCGGAGGGAGGGAGGGAGCTTTGCGATCGTGACATTTTATTAGACCGTACATGCAGACAGGAGACAAGCTGCACATGTCATTGATTTTTACACTCAGACCCCTTGCTGGCTGCTTGGATGCAGCAATACATGTGCGCCCCCTACTGCCGAACTAGGTCTTATTTTCGGGGTAGGTCTTATATTACAGAAATCCCTGAAGTTAGCACTAGGTCTTATTTTCGGGGTAGGTCTTATTTTCGGGGAAACACGGTAGTATATGTCCTCCCGTGCCTCTAAAGAAAACTATAGGGAAAATCACTTACCCCATAGTTCTCTTTTAAAGTGAAGAAATATGGGGCTGACATTAAAGGCCTTCTTCTGGAATTTCGAGATGCCAGGCTTTAGTATTGTTCAGTCAGGGACCTGGAACATGCATCCTGTAAATGAGTGTCAGAACTACTTATTTTTATGTTCTGGTTCAGCTACGCAGACGACATTGAAGTCAAAGTATCAAAATGACAGCAGGGTAACTAGCATTTTCTAAAGGCACACACAGCAATGGCAGTCTCCATTAACCTCATGACAGATTAACTTTAAAAATTTGTTGTTTTTAAGATTTCTTTTTAGGTGGTAAGACAGCTACATAGAAAAGTTATTGCTGCGATAAAGTGTGTTACTTAGCAGCATCTCACATACAATAACACGCATTTATGAGGCTTAAATCATATTATATTATTTCACGCTCAGCATTTCTTGTCCTACTGTGAAGGAGACCAGCTAGCACACAGCAGAAGTGTGCAGAGTGCCCAATATGTTTTAAACCCTAGATACTTCAATTAATCTATTCTGTTGCTTGGGGAATCCAAGTTTTACTAGCACTGTTGCTTAAAAAATGTAAACTATTGTACAGTGTACAGAGTTCAGCAGTCTGGGGTATATAATGTATAGTGCAGTAGTTTGTGGCATATCATGTGCTGTAACATTGGGAGCAGTCAGTAGAGAAGAGTGTGATGAGTGGAGAGGTGCGCATCAGTGCAGTGGCAGCAAGTGGAGAAGTGTCTATTGATGCAGTCATGGCTGGTGAAGAAGTGCACATTGTTACAGGGGCAACCAGTGGAGAAATGTGTGTTGGTGCAGTGGTAGCCAGTGTAGAAATGCTCATCGGTGCACTGACGGCTAGTGTGGAAGTGATGATTGCGAGTGGAGTAACGTGTGTAAGTGCAGTGGTGGACAGTGAAGAAGTGGAAAATGGGGTAGTGCACACCAGTGCCATGGCGGCAATTGCAGAA